GCGCTATCCCCGCGATAGGAAATCGCAAAGCACGTCGGATTGCATGTCCGGATACATTACAATAACATAAGGAGCCGTAAGAACACTTATATTAAGCTCCACATTACCAAGACATTAAGACTCGTCGGGATGGTAAAAATTCATTTATAGCGTAATGGACTCACTCCAAGCGCTCCAAGCCCACGGCCTCGGCTTACACAGAAAACTTTACAATTGTTGCATATGCGCCATGTTACGCGTCACAGCCAATTTAAAGACCGAAGTCTACAGTCACTGACGGGCCCGAGAGGGCCCGCTTTGAGGACCTGAAGGGCCCGACAGGCCGGCCGGAAGTCGCATTCGGCCGGGCACTCCAACGCTTACCAGAGGGTCCTGCGCGCTGATCAGGGGTCTCCTGAGTTGACAAGGGCTTATATGTTGGTCAGACACCACCGGTAGCGCACAGTCGGCTCCGTGGCTGCATCGGCCTGATGGCCCATTTCCCAAGCAGGAACAAAGCCGGAGCCAGCGATTTACTTCGATCGGGCCGCAGCTCTGGCGGCGCCCCACAGCGCCTGACAGGCGCCCTTTGTTGACAAGGGCCTCCGAGTCGGCCTGAGGCAGTGTTTGAGGAGGACAGGAGAGCCTAGAGGGCTCACCGAGTCCGACGACCAAGGGTCCGATTCGGGGGTATCAGGTCGCGAAGGTCCGGTCGGGATCCTATTCAGGGGCCTCGGCCTATGAGGACGGACCCTCAAATATCAGTCAGAGGGCCCTTTGCGCCCGGTTGAGGGACCCCCTAAGTTGATGCAGGCCTGTGTGTCGGTCGTGCACCACCAGTACCACACAGTCTGCTTCGCGTCGTAATGGGCCTGAGGGCCCACTTCCCAGTCAGCTATAAAGACGGGGCCAGTGATGCACACAGTCGGTCAGTGCCCCTGTATCTACCAGGGGCCCACAGAGCTAACAGAGGGTCCGGCGCCGCAATGGGTCCCAACCGACCAAGGAAAGTGTTTGATCAGGCCCGAAGAGGCGACTGAGCGGCCCACCGGAACCGACGATCAAGGCCCGGTTGGAGGGGCATGAGGGCCTGAAGGATTGCCGGCAGTTCACATAACAATATCGCGGCCCGTTGTATTATATGTATATGTATTATATGTGTATGTAATATATATATATATATATATATATAATATATATATATATATATATATATATATATATATCATATATTTGGTGTGGGTGTGGGTGTATGTGTGTGTGGGTGTTGGGGTGGGGTGGGTGTGGTGTGGGTGTGGGTGTGGTAGTGGGTTGTGTATAAGCAACAAGCAACGCCATCATTGATGGATGACATTCATTCAATCCGAAATAAACTGCTCATGGTTGATTTCTAGGTCACAGGTGAATATCTCCTGGGGAGAAATTAGTGATGTGGCGGTTAACAGGCATTGTCTTTCTGCGCACTCCGTTGGCTGCAACGCGCACAATGCTCGCAAAAAAGCTATATTGCCGCGAAGACAACCAATCGTCGCTGCCAAAGCCCAACTCTCGTAGAGCTGAGCTCAACTGAAGTAATGCTGACCACATTTGTGATGTGGGCGAAACGCGTAGTGGAGGGTTTACCTTCGAGAACAAGCGCGCGTATATGGCTCGCTGAAGCGTGCCGTTTTGACTTGCTGGCTAGACAGCGTCAGCCTGATCACAGTGGGCGCCGAGAGTCGTGTAATTGCATGGCACGGTAAAAGTCCTTTTGTGCTATTCGACAAGTGCCCGAGGTAGAATGGGTTTCGTCAAACCTCCATACAATAATTGGGTGGGTTTGAAGTGAAGCAAAAAATTATTTTCAGCACGGAGTCCGATTCGAAATTGGCCTGATAAAATCTGAGTTTTCCTGTCATGTGTATTGTATATTCCATTTAAAAGGTGAACATATATTCTGACGCAACGATCCGCACCAAAAATAGCTTTCTACTGCCCGCTTTTATTTTCTCGTGACACCATACCTAAAAAAAAGTCGGGTTTCAAATACAGCAAGGTTAGGGTGGTAGCCTTCCATGGGTAGCAGACAAAACGCTTAGCATAAAAGTATTCACGAGACCAGTGAATCAGGGGCATCAGTATCATATTCAGTTTCGGGAATAAGCGTCTGGGGTTATGTTTGACGGACAAAGAAACACGTCATATACAAAAGGACTCGACCCCAGCTATTCAAAGCTACCAATCATTTGAGGAAATAATTTTAGGTTGAATACATCAAGTTGCCCCGCTGCATTCTCCATGTCGACCGCAAATAGGCAGGAAGATCAAAAGAAAATAGTCCGTGTGTGGTGGCTATCTTTTGCCTACGCTTGTTTGTAGCACTCCAGCCAAAACATGAGGGGGCCAAGCCAACGGGGGGGGAGCAACTCAACATTGGTGGGGGGGGGGGGGGGTAGGACTCTCTCAAAAGAATACAAATCAACACCCGTGCGCAACAGTGTCTAACAAGGGTCTTGTGGCGGTAAGTGGCCCCCGAGTCGGAGCAGTGCTTGACGGGCCCGGTCCACCGACGGGGACGGGGGGGGGGGGGCGGTCCGGATGCGGTCTCGTGACGTTAGAATGTAAACATGTTGACGAATGTGAGTGATTTTATACAATCTTTTACTGCTAAGTCGAAAACCCGGAACCTCAAACGGCACACCAAAAAACTTGCTAATGCGGAATCAGCGATCGTTTGTAATCAAACGATATATACATACGACAGTTTTGGGCATGCGCGTTCGCGGCCTTGCGCAGCCGCAGTCACTACAAAAACTCCGAGGCCTGGCGTTGCAATCGTCGTTGGTTGCACGACGCAGGCCCCCACAGAAAACGCCAGATGATGGAACGATCGACCGGCGGGCGATAATGACGGCCTCACGAAGAGCATCGCTTCCGAGTGCTGTATGAAAGCGTCTCGTTGTGTGGCCCACACACACACGAGGGATGCCTCCGGGAGGTATCCCGGCCAAAGATTTCACGCGTGCTATTTTCCGACAGAGCATTGCACGGCTGCCTAAACTTACATGTACAGAGTGCCAGACTAATTCTTGCTCCTCATGACAACTTTGGTGTGTTGTGTGTGTGTGTGTGTGGTGGTGTGTGTGTGTGTGTGTTGTGTGTGTGTGTGTGCGTGTTGTGTGTGCGTGTGTGTGTTTGTGTGTGTGGTGTGTGTGTGTGTGTGGTGTGTGTGTGTTGTGTGTGTGTGTGTGTGTGTGTGTGTGTGTGTGTGTGTTGTGTGTGTGTGTGTGTGTGTGTGGGTGTGTGTGTGGTGGTGTGTGTGTGGTGTGTGGTGTGTGTGAGTTCTTTTCGTTTTTGTGCGATGATATGCCGATCACAAGCGTTTCAGTGACCGTATCCACACAACGTTTACCAAAGGTATCGGCACCCATTCCCGAAACGGTGGAGATGAATGATTTGTAGTGCCAATATTTTAAGTGTTGATATTTCGTGTATGGACGTTTAAGGTTGCCGATGCCTTGAGTGCCAAGATTTGGTGTAGTTGATACTTTGCTTGCCGATATTCTGCAGTGTCCATTTTTGACGGTGATAGTTTGTGCGACCTTATTTTGCGCGCCAATAGTTCGCGCGTCAATGTTTGACGTTTTTTACATGGCATTGTTTATTAACGTGTGGCTAGCTCGTCCCGTAATCATATAATCATTGCAGTTCTTGCTGCAGAATCGATGCAGTGTTGAATTAGAAGCTATAAATTTTGGAATAATGCAGTCACAAAGAAGGTACTTCATGCGAAGTTGACTTGGCAATGTTTGTCGTCAGCTTGATATTCAGTCAGCTTTATCCAAAGCCGTTTAGCACGTTTTTCATACGATACGAGCCATACTAAGTCTGCTGACAGCAATGCCGATTTTCACGGCATCTGATATTGCAGTTTTAGATGGAAGGGAACAGGCTCCCTGCTCCAAATTA